TCACTGTTCATCACCCCCGCGCTCTCTCCGCGGTCCGGGGGTGAAATCACGAGCGGAGCCCAGGGATTGGGGCTGTGGGATGATCACAGCTCCCTCCTCGCTCGTTGCTACACCAGGCAATTAAATCGGCGCTGCCTCTGCTCCGTGCCCTTGTTTTCAGCAGCTGCCACCAGCAGTGAGTGAGCACACGGGCTGTGCTTTCAGGGGTTTTAAATTGAACCATCTGGCAGGGCTGGTACACGGGGCTGTGCCTTCTGTCTGCCGGTGAGTGATTCAGGGAGCCCTGGACAGGCAGGAATCAGAGCACATCCTGCAGAATACAGCAAATTTTTAAGGCAACTTTGCAGCCACTTGCCCCGGCAGACAATCTGGAAATTGGCAAACTTTGCTGGATTTCTCCAATACTAAAGCTGCCAGCAACTAGGAGCCTGCAAATCCTTAGTGTCCCAAAAGCCACCTCCTTGCTGATACCCACACCCAGGCAGCTCCTGAAAGCGAAGGTTTTGTCCCCAAAATGCCTTGGACACAGCAAAAAGCTCATCCAAGACAGGAGACAGGTGCTCACCGAGCCCCTGGGACAGCAGGGAATTGCTCTTTTCCAGCTCCTTGGCCAGAGTGAGCTTTTGGAGGAAGAAAAGTGGAAGGGCACAGTAGGTGACCACAATCCATGGGCAGAGCTCCTCGGGAGAAGGAAAACACAGCGTTAGGACAGGGAATTAAAATAATGAGCACATTTGTGAGAATCTGCCCGAGGGAAAATAGTTCAGAAAATTAAAAACTCCATAGTAACAGACCGAAAGCTGTTAACCAACATCTAATTAAGCAAAAACTGCAATCCCCACAACAAAACAAGAAGAGGAGGGGGAAAAAAAAATTCATGCAGCAACCAAGCTTACCCAGAACAAGTACTAAGGAAATAAAAATAAAAAAACACTGTTTAGTGACATCCGAAGAGAAAAAATCCTGACAGGACTTTACAGTGAGTAGGCAAAACCAGGGTAAAGTTGCATACTATCTGATCTTGCTTTTTAATACCCATCAGAAGCCAAGAACAATCTCTAGGGTCCTCAAATATATTCCAATAAAATGCAGAGGAGAGGCCACAGCTTGGATCTCTATGTTCCAGAGCAAAAGACCAAAAAGCAAAACCCCAAAATGCAACACACACAAAGGGAATCTAGAAACTCAGCAGAATCTCTTTATTGACAAAGTTCAAAGATCATTTTTAGAGTATTTTGCACATTAAATTTTGTGTTAATGCTGACAGGGGGCAAGAGGAGGCGTTTTAGATGAGATGTTACGATAACAGCAGACATTGGCTCATGAAAGAAAAAGAACACAGCTTTTCTTATCAAAACAGTTTTTGTTACTTGCAGAGTTTATATTTATCACAATAGATCTACTCTGAACCATACTACGCTAATAAGTAATTTGAAAGCAACAAAAGCTGTAATAAAGACTTCTATAATAAAAACAGGACAAGTTTGACCTGAATTTTCATGATTAATGTGAATATTTTCATTTCAAACCCCAACTGTTTCAGGCCACTCTGACTATCTGAGGGAAAAATCTGTCTGCATGAAGAAGGTGGAAAAGCACAGGACTAACAGAATCACCAATCAGTCTAGAAGCATTTGGATCCCCTCAGATCTTCCTGTTCAGGTGATGTAGAAAACTCCAAAATGTACAGTTAGTATAAGAAGAAAGATTAAGAAAAGCAAATCTGGAAATTGCTTTGATACCCCACAAACCCTGTCCCAGCCTTTT